CTGGGTGCGCCACAGTACTGAGCTGGCTCTGTCCGTATTTTGTGCAAAGGCGGACATGTATTACCAGTAAAAAAAATTGGGGTGTCAGAGCAGGGGGGGGGGACTTTCACATGTTTTATCATAATTTCTATGTTTTTTTGGGTTTTTTGGACGGCGCAGAGGGGACCCCCTCCGAATCCGCGCCTGACAGTCGCAAATTGCAACCGGCTACAGGCGGGCACGCGCGAAGCAAAATGGGGCCGGCAACATCGGCTGACGGAAAAAGCGTGTCATCATGCCCGTCAGTCGGCAGCGATGAAGAGCGCCACCTGCTGTCCGTGAATGACCATAAGTGTCCGCTTTGAACAGTGTCCTTTTATGGGTGCAATAGACTGCCATATAATAGATCCCAATGATAAATGCCCCCCACTTCAGAAAGTCACGAAAAATACGTACAATTTACCATCCAAGGTGTTCAAGACACACATCAAAATTAAACCTTATTTTTATCATTTTCAAATTTTCGTCATTTCAATTTTTGGGGGTAATCTAATGACTTTTGGGAGAAATTTCCATCCAAATATGATCACCCCTTAAAATATAGTTCTGAAGCCCATCGCCATTTTGAAAAACGTTGCCTACACTCCATTGCTAAATAGAGCGCTTTTAAGGCTCCAATTTCATACAAATTGTACAGAAATACAAGCTCACGTTTCACTGCACGGCTTCCACCTTTTTTTTGTACGAACCCTCAAGTTCATGGCCCACAATATGCTCAAATACCGAAGAATTCGAGGGCATGCAAATCGTGATTTGGCCGGCGTAGGCAATTTCGGACCGATTTATCGGCCTGCACCTAGACTGTTTCCCGGCCCCATCTAAAGATATTTTGGAAGACCACCTGAGGACAATGGGGTCTGGGAAACAGACTAGCCCGCACCCTTTAAACAGCTGCAGCAGCACGTCTTTATATATAGGCCGTGATAAGTTACCCAGAATGCCATCCTCATTTCCTTCGCAAGATTCTGTGAAGCTCATCATAACCCTTCCCGGCCCAGCGCCCTATACATAGGTCCGGTTTGCAGGGCGGGGGTATACGAGCGACGCTCTATCGTAAAGGATGTACATCGGTATCGTGAACAGCGCCGCGCCCCTAGTGTAATTTTGTGTCCTGGTGTAATGTTGTTTTCGTCTACATTTAAATATTCGGGTTTTTTTAATTGAAGGATGCAACTTGCTGAACATTCTAGAGATTATTTTTCACGAAAATAATGTTTGATAACAGGCTGATGAAAGGCTGTTGGGAACAGCGAACGGAATATAGGCCTGATTTACAGTATTAACAAATAAATCCGTAAAAACAATCATCGTTTCCTTTTTTAAAGACGTACGTACCATGTTAAAAGGGTAGTGACGGAGTTGAGAATCTGTATCTGTCCAATTTCCAAATACAGAGAAAAGTAGTCAGGCGCGGATCCAGAGGGGGTCGAACCCCCGGCCCCCACCCACCCCGCTCTGATACACACAGAATTTGTATAGGCTAACAATTATAATAATGATAAGATCGGATATATACATCTTACGAGACTGACACCCCCCCCCCCCGCCAAAATTCCTGGATTCGCCCCTGATCGCACCTGATGCATGTTTCAAAAAAGCCTACATAATAATAGTGTTTATTGTTGCGTAACGATAAGTGTGTTTATCATACGTACAGACCTACGACTAACAAGCCTGCCTTATACAATTTTCCAAACAAATGAAAACAGTTGACTCATTATTGCCCGATATAGCGACGTCTGTTCGTCCATGGAGCCGGCTAAAACAGATGCACACAGCAATGTTTTACGTTTCTTCGCCTATAGTGTTTAATTTGACTCATGGTTTTGTAGATATTTGAAAAAATAGTCACACGGACCCCTTTTTCACTTGTTTGCGGACCAACTGTATATGCCTAAGGAGAATTAATTTTTGGAAGAGGAAGCACTGTTCGATCGACAAACTTCAGTTGCACAGAAACCGGTGAAAGGACAGTTTGATGGGATGCATAATTCAGTAATACTTTTCTCGGTGTTTCCTCAATATTGGCCTCGCATAAATACCAAATAAACGGCAGATCCCGAGGACGGACAGAGCACACTGTCCGAAACGTCGAGTTCTACACTCAACCAACCGGTTCTTTTCAGAACCACACTTCTTCCAAGAAGAGATTACTAACATGGTGTTACCCGCAATTTACTTTATCTCGTCATCCGCCATGCAAAGCATCAAGTTATACATAGATTATCGGCAGAGTAGGCCATCAGCCTCGGTCCAAAATTATGACCACCGGTAGCTTGAGTAACTCCAGCTCTAATGCCTATCGCATTAGAAATTTCATATTTTAGTCATCATTGTTCTGTTTAAAGTCGATTACTAGCTTCGTGAATGTCTGTTGCATCGTATGAGGTATGAATTACGGAATCTGGGTCGGGATAATATAGGGAAAATGGACCGTTTTTGTAATGCACTGGGGATTCAGAGTCCGGGATTTCTGGACTCTTACGACCCGGTACTTTTAACGTAGTTGTGACTCCAGCTCTAATGCTTTAGGCATTAGAGCTGGAGTTACTCAAGCTAGGCCACCGGTATCACATGAGGGGAATAACTGTCATAGCGATTTTTGGCAAGGTATACACCTCCAGAGTTGGAAAATATGTTATAGCATTGCAGCGGTGCCAGCTTTTTGGGTGTTAGCCCCCCCAAAAAATAAGGCCGTCTCTGGTCAGCGCGCGCGTCGATTTTAATCATGCGCGTCGATCTTTTTTTTTCCAAAATGTTCCTTGGTAGCTCCAACAGCGCCCTCTATTTCCGCACCTCCTCAATTTTTTTTGCCAAAGACCACCAAGGAATGGGAAATTGCACCAAGGCAAATGACCGAAAGCACCAAGGCAAATTATGGAGGACACCAATGTAAATGAGGACACCAAAAAAGCAAAATAGTACCCACCTTGTCTGTACAATCCAAGCTTGAAGAAAAGAAAAAAGAAAAAAAAAAAAGCCGCGTGGCCGCGTCAATTCCGGAACTTTGGTCTGACCAGAGACCGAATATATTTTTTTTGTGGCCATATCACCCTTTTTTTCTTTCTTCAAAATGTCCATCAAAATGCTTGTTACCACTCTAGGGGCGGTATACCTTGCGCATGCGCACAACAATCATTTGTGCCTTGATTTGATACTGACCAAACCCCCAGGCTGATGGTCTAGAGCATAATTCTAGACCTGATTTTATTCAATCGTCAAAGCACGTTTAACACAGTTAGATGTTAGTGATTGAACCGTCGATCAACCAATCATTAACCCCCACCCCGGGGAGGCCGTACGGGGGTATTTACCCCCCCCCCCCAAAAAAAAAATACATTGTAAAGACTGCCCTTTTCCATTCAAGCGCCTTTTTTGATATCACTTGACACCATGTGCACAAACCCGATGAGACTGGTATAAAAATCCCAAATGTTTTCTCAGTAAATTTTCAATTCCATTTTCTGATGGCCTATAGGTCACTGCAGGAAAAACTTAGTGGTGTCCATGTAGAGAATTCTTCCCCTTTTGTAATCAAGCAATGCAAATATCGCCCTCCTTCTGAGACTACCATACCTCAAAAAGGATACATGTATTAAGTAAATGTGACCTTTGCTCAATCTCAAATGTAAAGCATACATCAAGGTACAGACGTGGCCTAAAATTTACAGACAGTAAATAACCTTTGTCAACAACTTTTTTCAGTGTCATTTTTAATGCATGCTCAATTTCTTTTAATATAAATGCACATAAAACCAGTTAAAAACGTTCCATTCCATAGTTTAAAAAATATATTACCAGTACCAGTAAGTCCAATGAAAAATTCTTCTTGGGGTTTTTAATTTTAAAAAAAAAGTGGTTTCCATGGATGACAATTTGTTGGTGCTTTTTCATTGCAGTGTACAATGTACAAACTTGACATCAATTAATCCTCGTGGATTTAAAATACTACATTTACTTTTAGAGAATGAGAAAGCATAATCAAAAAGTGACAGTCACTTTCCTAAAATTGCTTTTGGTTGAATAACCATTAGGCCTATGGTATCTTGATTTAAAAGAATGCTTAGGCACCATGAAGCTCATCTCAGCATTATGCCAACAAAGCGAATAACTTTGCTCAAATGGTTTAGTCTGGTTCCCTGACCTGACAAATTCCCCGACGCCTTCCCCCATGCCCAGATATCTAAATTGAAGATTCATCAGTCAGGATCTTTTGGTCTGATGGGAACCTGACTAAAATTGGTTTTGGTTAAATAATCATTATGATACATCTTGATTTAAAAGATTGTGTAAAGCACTATATAGCTCATTGTCATTTCGCCCTTTCAACAATTTATTTACAAATTAGCTTTTGCAATTCACCGATGTATAAACACTATATACTCAGTGTGTTACCTCCCGAGTGAAAGTTGGACTTCGGTGAAGGGTAAAACCTAATTTGATTAACATCACCCTGACGCAAAAAGAATCCCATCTTATGACAAATTTTATTACACTTATGCATTTTTTTTGTTAAATAAAAACACAAAATTGATTATAAATAATACAGATTTTTAATATGATCAGCCAATAACTCAGTGCGGGATTTCAGATTCAATATATTTACCTCAAATGGGTTTGACCTTTTAACGGTAATATAACTTTATCATGGCTCAGTATGTTAGGAAAAACAAAGATCCAGCATACTCTACGTAAAAAAGATATTGCATACTTGGCAAGGCAATATTTACCAGCTGATAGGGCTGGGATTTTACATTTTTATTATTGTAAATGTTTATAAAAAACTGTTTAGCCATTTGGACCAATCTTAACACTGTACACTGATACAAACCCCCTTCAATAGGGAAAGCATTGTGCTAGCTATTGTTCAGAAAATCCGTCATGTGGCAGTTGCTTGAAAAAAAAAACTGGAGCAATGCTTTCGCCATTGCGAGGGGCCACATGACATGAATGACCGGCAAAATACAAGAAAGCATATAAACACAATAAAAGGCCCACATGGTACATGTTCATGTCTGATGAGGACTTGGAACAAAGGTTTTCCAAAGACACCGATAACCAAAATACCTGGGCCCAATGCATCAGAATAAAATAAAAGGCCCACATGGTATATGTTCATGTCTGAGGACTTGGAACAATTACAAAGGTTTCGTAAGATACCAATAAGCAAAATACCTGGGCCCAATGCGTCAGAATAAAATAAAAGGCCCACATGGTATATGTTCATGTCTAAGGACTTGGAACAAAGGTTTTCCTAAGATACCGATAACCCAAATACCTGGGCCCAATGCATCAGAAAGTTTCCGTGTACAAACCTTATGGGACATGTTGAGAAAAATCATGTATTCAAACAATAGCAACAAAAGAAGGGAACAATAAGGGTCCTCAGCGGTTTAGTAAAACCAAACTATGTGTGGTCCTACCACACTCATACACGCGAACCAACACTGACCGCAGTGTCTAAAGTAGAAGTGAATGCAGAATAGCAGACACAGTGAAGGAAACAAAGGAAGCAATGATGAAACAGAGAAATGCCAAGGCAGCAATGACACATCCTCAAATGGGGTGCAACCGTAAACAGATGAGGTAAGCAAGCCATGTTGAACAATTTGGCAGCATGCCTATGATGATCTGGTGCAGAAACATGAGTTATATACACAGTGCGCTGAAGATAACAGAATTTGATCAAGAAGAAGCCTGGTTAAAAAAAATTGCCAGCAAATTTCATCAACATGAAATGTGAAGCAGCAGATTATATGAAAGTTGCTGGTTAAAGCCGTGTTCCCATTGGACTTTTTCTTCAGCGGCCACGCGGGAAAGTTACCGTGACTGGCTTTGGTGTAATTCTACCGTGCGTTCCCACCTGGACTTATATTCCGCGACGGAACGGTTCATTCGCTGTTCGAGACTGGCAGAATGTCACACATTGCGGGCGCTGTGCACAGTCACCTTTGACCTATGCGGGATATGACGTGCCTGTGACGTATTTTTCGCGCGCTGAATTTAGTGGGCCACGTCAACGTCAACACTGACGCGATGCGACGCTAGCACACAAAGATCATTGTACTACAAACAACTCAACAAAATGGCCTCTTCTTCCGGAATTCCTTCTTCCATGTCTTCAAGCTCTTGTTCCACCCCAAATGCTCCGTCGACGAAGCCGAAGGCCCCGAGAAAAAGAAATCGAAGACAGCAAGTGAGTCCAGTGGTTCCACCCCAAATGCTCCGTCGACGAAGCCGAAGGCCCCGAGAAAAAGAAAATCGACAGCAAGTGAGTCCGATGGGCCTGGGGGGAAACGTAAAAAGAACTGGGGACATCCTGAAACTGTGGGATTAATTGCGATCTGGGGGTCGGTGCAATACCAAGCCGGCTTCGAAGTCACGATCCCCAACCAGCCAAACTCCAACAAGGGTTTGGTGGAGTCCAATTTATTGGAATTTGCAAGGATGAGGAAGGTTCCTAATAAATCACCCCAAGTGAGTTAGCGTCAATGCCAGCTAAATAAAAATTAGAAATGAACAAGTTTCAAAATTCTTTTTATTGCCATTTTCCCCTCTGAAGTCACTTTTAAATGCCTTGCTACTTGAAGGATTTGTATTTTATTTGTATTATTGGACCGAAAGCTGTTTCTATCATGTTTTAATTGAAACCCAGAATGTGTGTGGATCATTGATGGATTGGCCATGCTTCAACAAATGAGCCCCAAACACATGCCAGTGAGCATGGGCAAACTTGCTGAGAAGATTCTTATAGTCAGTTGGTGAACTTGGCATGCAACCGTGAATCAAACAGTGTCCACTTCGTCACAGACAGATACCCCAAGATCAGCTTAAAAACTGCTGAAAGGAAACGCAGGGCAGCCACTGGGTCCCAGAAGATAAAGATTTCAAAGCCTTCGCAGCCCATTCTGAAACAGTGGAAAAAGTATCTGGCAAATGGCTTCAACAAAGAGAAGTTGGTAGAATTCCTCTTCAGCACTTGGAGAAAAAGGAATGTAAAGAGCTTGAAAGGGGTTGTACTGGTTGGTACAGCAATTCCATCTCACCCAACAAGCGAATTGTAGATGTAAAAGAGATCTCTGAGCTACACTGTTCACACAAAGAAGCTGACAGCAGAATGTTGTTGCATGCCAGCTACATCGCCATCCTGCGACAGTGACATAGTCATCAAGAGCCCAGACACCAATGTGTTTGTGATAGGCATTTCTCTATCCTCTGATCATGTCAGTTCAACCTATATTTCCACACTGAGAGATGAAAATGTTGGTACTATTCACCTACAAGCTATAAGGAAGCACCTTGGAGATCTGTCTATGATGAACTTGTAGCGACACATAAAAAAAATCCAATTACATGTATGTCCTTTTGGCTGACCATACCCTTTTTGTGGCCCAAGGTCAAAGTGTGTTGTACTGTGGAGACATAAAAACTCCTACAAACAAGTGCACATGTAAATATCACCATCTCTGTTATTGTTATATTCAGTCATTTTACTATGTCGCTTTAATCAACTTTTCATCAGTTTCCATCGTTTTCTACTGTGTATAGTTTCATCATCTTTATTAGTAAATATCTTCGTCCATTTCATCTCCTTCAACTGTACATAACTGTTAGTCCTCGTGAAAGTTATTATTGCCATACTCCCTCTAGCCTCAGATGGTATAAGTACACGATTTACTCATTTTCTACCCGTTCACGATCGCTACAACACCCTCAAAACAGAATTGATTAAGCGGATATTTGCCTCGGAGCAAAAACATCAGATTGCGACAGTTACTACTTGATGAGCATGTTCAGATTTTCTTTAATTAATGAATTTCTATTAAGAAAAAAAAAACATTTTTGGGGAGACAACTGGGTTGATTCCCCCCCCCCCCCCCCTTCTGGATCCGTGCCTGATCTTGGAAACATATTGTACTAGATAATTCTAAGCTTCGTGGAAGTACAGAATCGTTCAGAATCTGTGATGATACTCGGATTTCCATCCCCACATTGTTATGCAAAATTTTGTTAACACAATTCTCTGTTTATGTCCTTCCTATACATTGCCCCAACGGCAATGACAACAAGTTTCTGTACTGTTTGTGTACAGATCAATTTGGGCGTCATCAAATCTGATCCCTCCTCAGTGAAAGGACTAATATTGCAATCATGAAAACTCTGAACAAGTACGTCCCAACAAGAGGCAAAGAAGTTATTCCAGAGTGCTGCAACGCTGACCAACTGTCAGTAGAGAGAATGGCAAATGCCAGGATGGCCCTGGCGCATCATCGTAATCCATCAATAGAATGGCTGGTCTAGAACCACAGCCCAACAGTTTCACCTCCCCATGTTGCTTATTCAGGTTTCACAAGGCGACCTTCAAATCATGTGCAAGGCTCAACTACATCATTTCCCAATGTTTTTCTTAATTTGTAAAAACATAACAGTTGAAGATGACAAATTGTTTGGGCAAAGACTGAAAAAAAAATATTTAAAGAAAAACAGGCAACCACGATTAATTACTTTGAGTCCTTTTCACATACAAATAATTTGAAACGAAACAATATATGTAATATATGTGTATGTATACGAAGCTCTGCAAAGTCGCGACAGCCGATACAGTGAAAGTGCAGTGGTACAGAGGGCAGTAAAATGTATGTAGTTGTAACATTCAAATATCTAAATGGTCATTAAGGAAGTCAACATACGCCTCAGGTTTTGCCAAAAATATACCATTCGGGAAATATCCCAAAAGATATGTTTTATAGTATTGTTTTAATATTTCTGTATTGTTCATTTAATAAGGACTACATGGACAAATTCTACAAGCCAGCAAGTGCTTCACAACGGGGAACTCTCTATAACATAGGGGACAAATTCAGACACAAGAACATGAAGAACGTCAAGAGCAAAGTGTCAACATGCTTCAATCATGCCACCGTTAAGGAAGTCAACATATGCTTCAAGTTTTGCCAAAAATATACTATACAGGACAAAATATCCCCCAAAAATATGTTTTCTAGTATTCTGTTTTATCATTTTTGTTTTGTTCATTTAATAAGGACTATATGAACAAATTCTACAACCCAACCCAGCCAGTGCTGCCCAATTCAAAATCATATTTGTACAAAGCCTTCGAAAAACAATCAATTAGCCTAATATAATAATAACGTATCTTAGTTTCCCAATGGGCAGTTCAATAATTAACATTGTTCTTATTTGTATAACACAGTGTATGATCAGTAGATTCGTATTGATGTTGTGATTTGTCTAACCCATCTTTGAACAAATCCAAGGTGATCATCCCCACTTCTTTAACTACAAAATCTTGCACCACAGTTTTGTCCCATCAATGCTTGCATTTAAAAAGACATAATTGAAATACAACCATTTGCTTTCGCAAAGCCTTGGGTTCAAGTGTGCAGCGTGTCCTTTATTGACTCTATCAAAGTGACACTGAAATTGACTTTTAATTCATTATTATTTTGTGAATATTTTAAAGACTTATTTCTACAGAGCAAACTCTTTCTCCTGCTGAAGTCAAATTGTACAATCGATGTGTAGTCCTACAATTGAAGGAGAAACATGGCAAGTTTAATATTGAAAAACATATCAGTCTACCCGTTCTTTAAACATGACACTATTAATGCAATGTTTGCAACCAAGCAGACAGGGACCATTATTGGTCACAATTAAGATGTGCCCGATTAGTTACAAATTATGGAACTATGACAAGAATGTTCGGGACTTGTCCATTGCACAACTGTGGCATGAAGCTCAGTTTTGTGCAGTAAAATAGCCTTGCTATTAGAATGAGGAAGAAAAGAACTCTTACTTTTCCATTTCAAAAGACTGATCATCTGTTTTTACTCCTTCCTTTCTCATCTGCCAATGTCAAACCTACATGTTTGACATTTCACTAAACGTAATTCGCATACGTCTTATTCTTGGCAATCCTAGAGATGGTAATGTAACTTTGCTTTGTTTTCTCAAACTGAAACTGTTTAGGAGGGTACAGTCTTCAAGAAACTCTTGAAACACTTCAACACTGCACTACAGTCCCTGTTCTCCACTTCATTGTTGATATTCACTGTCAACAATGCCTTTTGCTGGGCGCTGTAAATTTCCAAAACTGTTCAGCATTTGACAAAGACAGTGGCTTGCAGTTATCCAAACTTGTAAATATGGGAATCCCTCAGTTAAATTTTCTCAATGTTTCAGACAGGATCGTTGCAAGTAAGAAGATTGCCTCTGAAGACCACAAGTTCTATAGAACACACATTATACTCCACCTGCTCCTGACGAATGCTGCTCGAACCAGCGTCATCGAAAGGATGGAGTTGCAGGAGTTTGAAGTAGCCACCTCACAACTTATCCAAACTTGTAAATATGGGAATCCCTCAGTTAAATTTTGTCCATGTTTCAGGGAGGATTGTTGTAAGTAAGAAGATTGCCTCTGAAGTCCACAAATTCTTCGGAACACACATAATACTCCACTTGCTCCTGACAAATGCTGCTTGAACCAGCGTCATCGAAAGGATGGAGTTGCAGGAGTTTGAAGTAGCCACCTCACAACTTATCCAAACTTGTAAATATGGGAATCCCTCAGTTAAATTTTGTCCATGTTTCAGGGAGGATTGTTGTAGGTTAGAAGATTGCCTATGAAGACCACAAATTCTTCAGAACACACATACAGTATACTGTTTCTCACCCACATAAGGCAAGAGGTTCTACCTCAAGCTTCAGGACTTCAAGAAGTGCTAGGATACCAGTGGTACTACCGTATTTTCAACAAGGCCAGATACTTTGCATACATCATGGAAGGGGCATTATTATTTTGCCTTGTTGAACGGGAACCCCGTGTAGAGTATTCTGATGAAAGACCTCCTCACTTTACGGGAAAGATACCCCCAATCGGGGAATTCATGACAGCAGTACACATGCCGTCAAGCGCTACAACGTTCCAGTTTATCAGCAGAAGTATTTTTTTGTTGGAGGCGTTGAGAGGAGGCCCTAAGGTAGGGGCAAAAGCCCTATTTGCCACTGGTGTTGACGTTAAGGTCCTCGGTTACCTAAACAGGGGGTGCCACAGTCTAGTTCAGAATATCCATATGCTGTCAATCTTAACGCAAATAACTTACAACTGTACAACATTGTCATCAAGGGTATGAGCAGCCACTGTATTAGTGATGATGACGTTGTCTCAGTTCTGACGAAAGTATTCAATAGACATCAAATTACAAGTGAGAAACTCACTTGCCCCCTGTTATCAAAAGCCTTAAAGCAAAAGATCAAGGCTATGTATCAGAGGTGTAAACCATGTGTACGTGATGGAGACAAATCTTAGGGAGTGCACAGTTAAACAGATGGAATAGAACAGTGTATCAAATTATCAATCAAATTGCCTCACAAATCAGGCAGTCCCACTAAATGCAAATCACAAGTTTGAGTTAAATGCTCAGCAGAATAAGCGCATCAAGTTAGAACATGGGTTGACATCAAACACAAAAAAACTTGAGGACTTGAGGAAATGGAAGGTAAACAACATGATAACATGCTATTAGAATGTCTGGTTGATCAGTTGAGAAATTCAGTGGAAAAAAAAAGAGGTCAGAGAGGTAGAGGCAAATGTGAAGTCACTTGTAAGAAATCCCAGAAATACAAAAACTGAGCAAGAGCCTCAAATGACCTTAGAAACACTGTAGAAGAAACGTCAAAAGATTGTGGTCTAATAACTGTATGTTTGGAAATACAGAAAGAAAGAAGGGCAAGTTGATCAAGATTACAATGGGTGAGAGAGAAGAGCTTTTGACTGAAATTAAAATTGATGAGATGATGTTCATTATAGATACCTTCAACACCCGAACTTCAACAAAATTGTGTTACTCTACCCGAGTTTATCAAGATTATGTGTCATGAAGTATTGTCTTCTTTGTATGTATTATTTGTTTATTTTAACATATTGTTTATATGTAATTTTAAAGTAATTTTAGTACTAGCTGTCGATGTTTCATAGATGATTTTTAGTCTGGTTGTATCGTATACTTTTAACATTTAACTTGTGTGAAATGTGGTTTTTTTGTAAACTTTGCTGGGCATCAGTGGAAAACAGTGTTTTGTACTGATCTGATTTTATCCAGGGTAAAGAATAAACAAACAAACAAACGTGAAAGGACTGCACGATCAAATGCACGTTGTTAGGTTGTATCCGTCTCAGACCTGTTCATGCCCAGTGAGTGACACGTGCATTCACAGAGCTTGTAATCTTGCCATAGGATACAACACAGTTGCCTTAACATCTTGAAACGAACAAAGAGAGGACGAGTACATTTGGGGAGAAAGAGACCGTCAACAAGGAAAGGCCACTTGTTTACCCTTTGTTTGCTTGTTTCCAGACTTTACCGATAATAAAATGATTGCTTGAGGTCTAGGAAACACGAATCACTGGAGGTATTCTGGAACGAATAGGTAATAATAATATATAGATAGGGATGTCAGAAGATAGAATGTAAAGTGCATGGTAACAGAATGGCCTTTTTTCCACCCTTTGGTCGCTTGGTTCCAGCCTTTTTGTTAGTTCTATGATAAAAGACTTCCTTGTTTAAGATTGTTGAGGAAGTCCTAGAATGGTTCATTTCTTCAATGTTTAGCAAACCAGCCTTTTCTTGATTTATGTTACTTCGCTTTGTGTCAATAATCCCATTTTCCAAGATGGCGGTTGCCGCCAGGATTTCGGCGCGAACCATAGATGATTGTGTTTGATATATTTAATTTACTGTAATTTGTGTTTAATTCTTTAAGTTAGTTATTATTCATTGTGATTATATATTATTCTTCATCGAAGACTCATCCACACTGTTTCGTCTACACTCTTACAGAATAAATCAGCAAAAACAAGATCCTTGTCGCCGCTTGCTTCTTTCCTATTTCAGCCCAATTTCTACCTGGGTCACAAATATTTTTAATAGGGACGTCTGAAGCTCCAATGTAAAAAACATTGTCGCTGCACAACGAACAAATTGGGTATACCCTTACAGAATGGTCGTTTTCTACTCTTACTTCACTTGGATTTAAAATTCAACATAATGGGCTGGCCGTCCAACAAATTCCCAAAGATGACAATGAGCGAGAAGAAAAGGTTCAAGGGACTGTTTGGAACCAACAGACTGACAAAAATGTCTTGCAAGGCAACCATGGACGTTGTTCAAGGAATGAACCAAAACAAAAATGCAGTCCTGAGCTACATTGCTCGCATCTCTGACATGATTGGATTGCAGCTGCCTTCCTGATAAGTGCCAACGGGCATGCAGCTGCTGAGGCAACAAGAACTAAGAATGGGAACAAGAATGACAAGATGTTGAACAAGTGGAATCAACTGCTCAACGAGTTTCAAAGAGCTGAATAATGTAAGTTTCCCGGGATGCCTCATCCCATCAAATACTGCTGGCCTGCCTACGTGTCCATCAGATGGAATCGAAGCAGCGATGCATAATGTTGTCAGATTTCTTACCCTAAGTCCACAGTAGTACAGGGGCCAATTTCACGGTGCTGCCGAGCACAAAAATTTGCTAAGCAAAAAAAGTCTGGCTTATAAAACCTGGTTACCAGCCAAAACTCCATGTGATGTATATTGCTCGTGATTGGTATTCAGCTTTTGTTTGCTTAGCATGAAAATCACATTGACTTTTGGCTGGTAACCAGCTTTTATAAGCCAGACTTTTTTTGTGCTAAGCAAATTTGTGTGCTTAGCAGTGCCGTGAAATTGGGCCCTGATGAGTCTGAGGATAGCTTGAATAGAGTTACAAACAGCAGTGTCAGCCACTAAGTAATGGAAGATAAGGAAACAGTGTTCCAGATTGATAGCATGATTGCCTTATCGTGGATCCGTGGCCAAGCAAGAGGATTCAAGCCATTCGTTCTCAAACCGAGTTGGTGAAATACATGGTCATTCAGATCACTCATAGTGGCAACAGATTCCCGGGGAACTGAATGCAGGTGCTTATGTGTCTTGTGAAATAAGCGTAAAACAGTGGTCTCAACAATGGAAAACTGGACTTGACTTTTTGTGTCTGCTGGACAAGGACTGGCCATGAGATCCAACCCTCGTCAACCAGATGGAAGTCGGCAACTTGGAAAACGCCTTCCACTGTGGGCCTCTTATTGTCCTTCAATTGTTTATACTTTGAAATATTTGGCAAAAAGTCCCATATGTTTTGTACATGCTCTCCAAGAAATGGAAAGAGAGATCCATTTTTAAACCTTGTTTTTGGTCCAAAATTTTAAAAATCTTTAAATTGATAATAAGGGAATAAATGTGTGTTTCGGAGGTATTATAACACTCTGTTTAAAACCGGTGTGAGTCTGGATGGGTGATAATTACCCGAGGCGAAGCCGAGGGTAATTATCACCCATCCAGACTCACACCGGTTTTAAACAGAGTGTTATAATACCGACGGAACACATATTAATTCCCATTCATAAATACCTTTTTGGTCAAAAAAACAAATCTTTTCGGTCCAAAAATCAAAACAAGTCTCAGACTAGACGCTGCTAACCATTTTGTTCAACAATTTTACTTCATGTTTTACGAAACACCCCTCTGACTATCATATGGAATGCCCCTGCACAATTGCGTGCGCGTCGCACATTCCACCTCCATGGTTGCGCGTACTGTGCGATGTCGCGCAAAATGCAGCTGGGCTGGTGTAGTGTGAATATCGAACTATGAAATAATGATTCACTGGCAGTATTGCGCATGCATGCGTGGGGAATTTGAACGTTCAACCAAAGAAACGTTAAGGATTTCATGGGAGTCCAAATTTCATGTGACACTGGAAAAGTGTTTAAGACCAGCTAGCCATGTCTTTATCATTCGTTTAAGACCAGCCACGTGACGGGCTCTCGACCAATAGGAATGCATAAACGGTATTAGGTATTGATGAATTAAGTGATTAAACATTTAAATATTAAAATAACACAACCATACCAGATGAATTTATCTCTTAACTGGAATTTGTTGAAAAGTTCATAATTTATCTAAAGAAAAACTGATATAATGTCTCACTGTCTGTTGTCAATGCATCCAAATTCGGTAGAAACCCAGAGCTATTGTCAAACAGCCTAGAAGTGTACCTGGCAAAAGAAAAGAAGAAATGAATATATTAAGCACAATGTAAAACAAGTTTATATTCCACTTGCCTGATTGGCCCAACTACAATCTCACATTTGTTTGATACATTTCAAAAAGTAAACAGCGCTTCAGAATTTCTTCTTAAGATGTATGTAACAAACTGTAAAAGAACCTATGGATTCTTGAATTCATTTTGATAGTTTACTTTCAAATTCATGCACATTAATATATACTTTTTGTCATGGAGAAATTTCCGCAGTCATTTAATGATATCACAATTTAACATTCACACTAAGGTTATTCAAACAACTTTTACATGTGTAGTCCTCATCAATTAACAGCAACACTTGTTGTTAGTGTAGAGCTCAATAAATATTTACCATTATATACATTTGAAGACACGTCATTGCATTTCCTTTTGTTTCTTCCATAGACTCAACACTTAAGGCCTTTTCACACTAGACAAATCTCATGGTTGACACGGGGTTGACGCAGGGCTGAAAACATGCATCGTTTCACACTTGAAAAATATCAACCCTGTGTCAACCCTGCGTCAACCCTGGGATTGATTTCGCCCCGGGTTGAGCTCAACCCTGCTCCAGACCAGGGTTGAGATTTTCAACCCGTGTTGAAATTCTTGCCAGGGTTCAAAACAGTAGTAACCGAGCGAAACAAGCTGGGTTTGCAAGTGTGAAACAATGCGGGGTTGAACGCGGGGTTGAAAAAAAAAACCTCTCAACCCGGGGCAGCACTGGGTTCACCAAGGGTTGAGTTTAACCCGGGGTTGAGAGGCTCTAGTGTGAAAAGGGCTAAAGATACTTGCGAAAAACAAAAAATATCTATTCAAGGACAACAATGAATCTGCTCTCTCGTTGTTCTCATTGTCTTGCAGCTGTCCTCCGACTTCATGAAATACATGCACATGTTAACGAGTGTGTATGTGTTCTACATAACCCCCGTGGACTGACACAAAGGGAGAACAACAGATCTGACACACAAAGGGAGAACAACAGATCCTTTCAGTCCTCGGGAGTTGGGTCTTTTGTTGAAAACGTTCGTCTGTAGTGAGTTTGTGTGCTTAGTCTATGGGAAAGTGTTATATTACAGGGACAAAAGGAAACACAAAGCATTGTCCTCGAGAGTGAAGTAAAACACAACTATGTGCGCATGTGGTGTGTCCACACACTGAATCTTTTGAGAAGTGGTCACACAGTTCTGTTCCTGCAGACCTGAACAGAGTCCACGTACTAAAACACCACCAAACACTGGCAAAAGGGACCAATACTGGAGACATACCTGCAAAGTACCTGAAGATATCATTCTTGGTCGCCTCCAGCTTGGACATGACATTGGCTACCTCAGTGGTAATAAGATTCTTGTTAGTTTCAACCAGCATCCTGTGCTCGTTAGCCTATCAGGGAATGAAACCAAACAAATACAATACAGCTTACTGAAAATTGCGATGACATGGACTTCAAATGCGCAGGGTGCCAAATTCAGCTTTAGTGCAGTCGAACGAATGGAATCATGTTGTTATGTATATGTCCTAGGGCATAATAATAATGGGGTGCTTATATTGCATTTCATGCCAAAGGTCTCAAAGCGCTTCACGATTATTACCCCTGTTCATCAGGCCATGAGACCAGTTTTTGTAGCAGCTCGAGATCAGCGCATTCTGGTCTCTACCTTCACAGGTACCCATTTATACTCCTTGGGGCTGAGAGGCAACTGTAGTTAAGTGTCTTGCCCAAGAACACAAGCACCATATTTCCAGTCACGTGAATCAAACACCATAACCATTGGACCACAGCCCTCCACAATGAAGGACACTTTTTTCCTGATTGTTTATTTAATTCAGAATTAAAATGGGTATCTGTAAATATATATCAGTCTTTTCAGAGCTGGTTGCTGTCTTTGACTTAAGATAAAATGATCATTGCAAACATTGAGTTGTAGATTCATGAAGTAGCTCAGGTTGTGTTGCAGATTCATTAAGAAACTTGCACTTGAGCATATTATACCTTAAATTTGTTTTATTTTAAGAGAATTGAACTGGAGCTGAAATTCAGACTTTTAAGCTCAATACGCAAGTAAATGTATTTTGTAGTTGGACTAAGAATCACTTGAATGTACAATGAGCCTTAGCAGGCAAAAAAAGTAAACAACAAAATTACAGTGATGCAACAATTCCACTATCTGAGAAAAATGCCTTTGTAAAGAGTTCAAACACTCTGATATTAAATGCCTCTGGCATTGCTATGGTATAAAAGTGTATCCTCTAATCTTTGCTGGCATTCTGTAATGCCAGACTTGGCTTTGACTCAGCAACTGAGAACCTCCCACATTTTTAATAATAATAATAATAATAGCAGGTTCTTACATAGTGCTTTTAACTAAAATCAAAGCACTTTTAATACATTATTATTACCCCTGATCATTGGGCCAATTAAACATTCCAAATACCATCTCAGCTCCCTGGGGAGTGTACAGCTCGATGCTGCCTGTTAGGCGCAAGGAAGCTAATTCAATCACAATAACCATATCTGCCCTCACAGGTACCCATTTACTCCTGAGTGGAGAGAAGCAATAAGTGCCTTGCTCAAGGGCACAGGCACCATGACCCAGGCTGGACTCGAACCCACAACCCGCACTTGAGGCTCAAGTCTAAGCACCGGATAACTGAATGGAATTAAGGATACTATCAAACAGTGGTACACACCTCTTCTTTCACCCTGCTTTTCTCCAGATTGAGGTCCAATGCAACCTTGTTGCTCAGATTGGTGATGTCATCCTGTACAATTTATGGTAAAATAAAACATACTAAAATGTGTTTTTGCCCCCCCCCCCCCCATTATTTTTTTTTGGGGGGGGGGGGGAAGATTTAATACTATATATCTAAGATACTACATACTTAAAGTAATTCCTTCTCATGCTAATACTGTGTTAACAATCCATTCTTATGCGAAAAATAGGAACTGTTCTTGCGGTTACATATAGTTATCAAGACAAAAATCTGTGTTAAAAAACTGGCATAAAATGAAAGTTATTTGGATTTGCAAGTGCTTATAATGCAAATGCAGCATTTTAAGCTTTGGGATTTGTTAATACTGGCGCATTCAATTATCAGACACTCGGTATTTGAGCTGTGACCCAAAAAAAAAGACTTTGAAACTGTTATTTTAGTTATAATAAAATATCTTTGAAGCCACATGTAAAAAAAAAAGAAAAAAAGATGATCAATCTTTCGGTTTTCAAACACCCACAATTCTTTAACCCTAACCGTCCTGAATCCTTCAAAATCATCTTCGCCAAAGTGGATGAATTTGGAGGATTGAGGTTACATGGCAAAAGTTTTTGTAGGATGCACTTTGTCAAGGTCTTGGGTCAGACCTTGTGTTGTTTTTGCTCAGCCATGCATAAATATAGGCCTGGATTATGCTTGAAATCCTCCGTACTGCTCCAGGATGTCCCTGGCCAAGCCTCAACATATTGACAGTCACTGCCGCAGGATTCAGGCTGTGGTCACCCCTCCACAGACCATATTCAAGAAATAATGGAGGAATTGGCAGGATTGAGGCTATACATGTACATTGTGCTTTTTTTCCATGAGGCCAATTCGAGGATTTTGCAGGATTGAGGCTGCATCCTAGCAAAAAGGCCTAGGGAGTTAGGGTAAACAATGCAGTGATTCAAATTCCCTGTTAGTCCATCCACCATATGCTTACCTGAAGTTGTTTCCTCAACTGTTTGACTTGATTTTCTAATCTCTGAAACAAAAAAAGAGTGATAATATGAATGCATTAAAGGGAATGTACATCATTGGATTTTGATGTTATTTTTAGAAATTAACTGTTTGAGGGGCTATAATAACTCAATATTAATTGTTGTTCAAAAATGCTGGAAAAACCAAGAAAAAAGAAAATTTTCAGGTAGTCTGGTTCCCTGACTCCACTAAAGATGAAATGTATCAATTTATAGATGCTGGAAAATTGCAAGGTAAGGGAACCAGTCTAGCTGGCCTACACCCGTTCATGAACATGTTACCAAATTTGGACTGGAAAAAATTGACCTTGAAGCAGTAGTTGAAAAATAGTTAGGTTTTCTAACAGTGGTCGGCCGACCACCCTTGGAAATTTATACAAAAATACCACTTTTCTTGAAAATGACTTCACATTAGGTGCCATAATTTTACAGGATATTTTAGACTGTCATTTACCAACATCCTTGTAAGGTATTTCATAAAAATTTGGTACTTTTGTTTTTCAATGTTTGCAAATGTTGTATATTCCCTTTAAGAAGCAAGAAACAGCAAAACATTATCTTTGGACAGGTAAGGTACATTTTGCACTAATGTGGTCATACACTTTTTTTTTAAAGTCATTACAACCATGGACTCCCTGCAAAACTTGTTGTGGCCTTCACCAAATGGGAACAGAAAATTTATACAAACCTCATTTTCAGTGCGGAGTGTTGAAAATTCACTTTTCTCTAAGATGATCATGTCCTTTTTCACAGCTGATATGTGGGACATTATCGTTTGAACACTGATTTCCTAGGGTAAAAATTAACAGACAAAAAAATAGCATTTACAATAATGGTAAACAAAATTACATGTAGCAACTCAATTTAAAGCTTCAAAATAACCTGTACAACCAATAATTAACCCCAACTCCCTAACATAATTTACTAGGAACCATACCCATCCAGGCAAATTCCAACACCCACATGAGAAATCATACACACTGTTGGACTTAGTTTCTGGAGGCATGCCAAACCAAATGTAAAAGACCATCAGTTTAGGGGTACTGTACCTATCCCAACAGATTTCAACAACACCTGCTGTTGGACTTTGATGGGTTGAGTTCGGTTAGGGTTAAGGAAGGGTTAAATTAAGTCAAACTTTTACCAAGTTTGAAGCTATCATTACAAGACACAATTGGCAAACAGTTCTCAAATTTGCCTAGGCCAGTGTTTATAGAGTCTTGTGACAACAGTAAGATGTGTTGGTCTACCATGTTAATTGACAAGCGTGCTCTTGTCATGTCGTCATCAGGAGTTTGTTGATGTTAACAAGAGCAGTCAAAATGTTGAGCACAATTCTCATTCTTGTTTTTTTTCTGAGCTACACTTCTTTACAAGATATTTGTCCACAAACAAACCTCACTAGTGTAAAGCCACGTAAAAATAAAATAGTTTCTCATCCAGGCTTTTTTGAGAAACGGCAGCCCCTATCCTTTTTTTTTTTGAGATGGCAGATTTTCCAAGACGGCAAATTTTCTAAGATGACGGATGGATTCTTCAATTTTCTCAAATCTTTTGCTAATACAAAATTGTGTTCAAATGGGCCGTCATCTTTTTGTCTACAAAGCTACGATTTTGTTGGAAACAAATAAAAGACAACATACATGTATTGACAAAATTTGCAAATTATTTTGCAAATATATATATGGAATAAAAGGAGAACTGGTTGGAAAAAGTACGCGGGCAAGGATGAGAAACTTTTTGTTGTTTTTACTTGGCCTATAAACATCTATGAGAAAGTGTTTTTTTTTTGTTTACTTGGCCTATAAACATCTATGAGAAAGTGTTTGGGTTTTTTTACTTGGCCTATAAACATCTATGAGAAAGTGTTGTTTTTTTTTTTACTTGGCCTGTAAACATCTATGAGAAAGTGTTGGTGTTTTTTTACTTGGCCTATAAACATCTATGAGAAGTGTTTGTTTTTTTTACTTGGCCTATAAACATCTATGAGAAAGTGGGTTTTTTTTTACTTGGCCTATGAACATCTATCTCCACAATTCATTATCCTCTGGAATAAAAATAAACGATTCAATTGTTTCTTTTTGAAAACAAATCTGAGTTGCAAAGCAATTTTGGATGAGTATCTGTACATCATAAATGTTCACTGGAAAAGTAGGAACAGATATTTAATGCCAGTACTATCTTGCAGTCACAAACACACAGGCTGCTTTGTACTTGATAAGGTACATGTACATGTAGTAGTTGATTTTGACACTTTGCAATAAAACACTTCTTTTAATTTGTAAATTGTCAGTAAAGTTGCACTCACTTTGTGAATTATTACGACTTCAAACCTTACCAACTGTTCCTTTGAAATTGTCTCCTTTGACAGAACCTCTGTATTTTTGCTGAACACACTGAGCAAAACACCTGTGAGACATTCCGCCTGTTGCCTTGAAAATCCTAAAATCGCATAAAGAAAAAAGTTACCCTTGACAATACATTAACTGCACAATTCCCTAAATTCTAGTAAAGCAAATTAAAAACTTACTACAAAGCTAAGAAATAAATTTTGAATCTTTAGACATTTAGAGCAAAGTTGGAATATGCTGATGCCCATAATCATACTGTAATATTTTTAACAATTCTTTTTTCGTCAGTGCATTAAGCATAAATTTGTATCATTAATGAAGATTTTGGGACTCAAAGTAGGTCAATGTGTTTTTTAAGCGCACGTATCCACTAGTATTGGTACTCAAGGCGCTACGTCATTATTACCCTGCTCATTGGGCCAATGAAACATCCAAAGACAATCTCAGCTCCCTGGGGAGTATACAGCTCCATGCTGCCATTTTGGCGCAAAGCAGCTAAAATCAATCACAATAACCATCTCTGCCCTCACAGGTACCCATTTACTCCTGGGTGGGGAGAAGCAATGAGTGACAAAGTGCCTTGCCCAAGGGCACACACACCATAACCCCAGGCTGGACTCGAACCCACAACCTGCAGAATTACCCACAGAACACGAATTCAATGATTCAGCCCACGAGGCCATGGCGATCAACACTGATAGTTACATGTATATTTTCCTTTTTCACTGTTAAATAAATTCTTACATAATTATGAATACATAAAGTTTAAATCAATCCACAATTGTGATTACTTTCAAAACTACGAAAATATCATACCATGTTCTTCCAATGTATTGACCAGACCATTGGTGTCAATGAAGACTTTATCTTTAGTGATAACGTCCATGTGTTTGCTTGTAGTACTAGTACCGGTACTAGCAGATGCACACAAACACCTCAAATTCCTCTTGGCTGTGAAAAAAAAACAAGATATAAATACACACCATGATATTACACATCATGACAGTTTATAAAATCACAGAGAAACAAAATTGAAGAAAGTAGGGTTTGAAGTTTGAGGGGGAAATATAGTCAATTATTATTCATATATGAGGATTCCAGCGGTACAAATAAATCAGCGTATAGTCGTGTTCCCTAACGTGGCGCACTTCGAAGCTTACCCAAATTTCCTCGTGTAGTGTTGCCAAACCTCTTTGTTGACAAACCTCAAATTCATGCAGTGAAATACTAGTACTTTTACCTTATTAATGCTTGCTATTTAACCTCTGTGAACAATTTCGGTTTCTTAAAATTTAATCCGAAATTCAAAAACGGTGGCGTCCGGAAATTGGGCACAAATTGGCGGAGTGTTCCCTAACGTGGCGCACTTGAATAAATCTCGGAAAATTCCAGATTAACATTTAAGAATTTCTGTAAACTTGATAAATTCTGATAAATAATTGTTATCTCTACTTACATACCCAGCCAGATGTTTGTCAGAAAATTATTTTCTTATTTTTCGGGGCATTTTCAAAGGGTTCACTTTGCACTTGAAAATAAAATCGGAAAATCACGCCAAAATAAATTTTTCTTGTAACTTTGTTACGGGTAAATAAACTCGCGATTTATGAACAGGAGTGTTTAGAACTTGATGAAATTTCACTTTCTGTGAAATTTCAGTTAAAACTTTTGCTCTAGGTAGGCGCTACAGGCGAAAAATCAAAGTGCGCCACGTTGGGGGCCGCGCCACGTTAGGGTACATCAACAATATTGAATGCTTTTGTAAAACATACCCGGATGACAGCAATAATTTTGATATTGTTTGGCGCGCCCTTATCCAGTGTAGCAATATGATCTTTTGCTGCGTGAATGAAAGGACCAACTTGAAACAGAACAAAACTGACTAAAATATGAAGACCAAAATAATGATGATTTCGGTGGCTGTGTTGAGGCCAAGTGTTCGGAGAAAAACCTGTACCTACATTTCAGCATTGCTGATGACCCCTCCCCCCCCCCCCCCTGCACAAATTCCTGAATCCTCCCCGAGAAATAATTTCATATATGTATGCCACTAGTTTTTTACCCGGAAATGACTCATCAAACATCAGAGGGATAACATGTCCTCAAACAGGGAAAATATTGAAGCATTTAGTTGGAAAACAATTTTTCAGACCAGTCTCATAGGGTTTGTACACAGGGTGCCAAGTGGCGTATGATATGGAATTCTTTCTCGCCCCTAAAGCTTGCAGTGGTTGTAAGGAAAGAATGTTGCAACATGATGCTGCTTTTTTTCTTTATATTATCTCAGTGAAGGTCAGTCATTGGAAAAATGCATGAATCTGGGACTAAGAAACATTTCCAATTTTGTTTGGAAATACTTACAAAATTTTCTTGACTCTCCATAGACTTTGTACACAACCGGTGAAGAACTTAGCGTCAGGTTGCAACATTATTTCCGGTTGTAATGTGCATATATCAATTGTTTCCCCCCCCCCCCTCCCCCAGTTGCCCCACCCAAGACATGGGGATTGTCACTTTTGAAGTGACAAAATCCACACCCCTCGGGCATGTCGGGCAAAATTTAAGTGACAATCTCCAACATATAGGATGGGACGCCGTATTATCGCGGTACTTAGCACGTTTCTCGTTCGGAATAGAGATTGCCCACTAACCTTCCCGAATTGTCCTGTCTTTTGTGTAGTAAAACTCTTCCTTTTCTAACTGATATAAACAAATCCGACGGTGGCATGGTTTATTCCGTGTACAATGCCTGTGAAAATAGACATGCTCTGAGTGTGCCAACGGAGGTGGACTCCCTATTATCGCGGTATGCGGGAAGTGTTTGTAAATCTTAAGAAGGAAAGGATGTCACAGTTTAGAAGGGCAGAAAGGAAATCACATCTATATTGTGCAGGTAAACTCTTGGTGTTTATTTCACCACTGAGTCACCTTGGCTCACTCAGCCATGGGTGTAACTCATAGTGAACACAGCTAAACACAGCTTGGGCCAATGACAGACAGTCATCATTGGCAAACCAGGAAATATTTAGGAGAAAATAGGAAATATGAATAATACTAAAGAATACATTCACCTATAAGTCAATATAAAACAAAGTAACCTAAGACCTAAATGAGGTCTGGGTTACTTTATAGGCTAATCAGAAAGTGCTGCCTTTTTCAGATGTCTATTTTTCGTGAAATGTCCAGATTCATTTGCACACGTTGCGTATCAAAATTTCAATATGAAATTTCATGAAAGTTAGACATCTGAAAAAGGCAGCACTTTCTGATTAGCCTAAGACTAGTAAGAGGGTGAGTATGCTTCTATTCTAAAGCAAAAATAAACTACAATTTTTAGTACAAACTATTTTAGGCCTAAGCCTAATGTGAAAATCAAAATTTGACAAAGTTCGACATGTTTTTGTACATGGTGGAAGTGTGGCCTTTATTTACGGAGGTAGTCCAGTAAATTGGCCACATTTATGGGGCTAGACCAGACCCCGAGTCCCCGACATCGGAGTCGGACCCGGAGGGGTGGGGGAACATTTAGGCGCATTAAACAGTTAGGCTTACCTCTTTGTGCTCCTACTGCATACCTAGATAGCAAACTACATGAAATACTCAATATATTTTCATTGGAAAAGAAAGTCAAATATTTAAATGCCCCCAAAACAGGTCTTGTTGCCATCGTAGAACTGGCACTGGACTGACAAACTTGCTGTAACTTGCGGTGATAGCCTGCACTACATGCATGACATACCGAGTTGCACACGTGTCTGGCTAGGCTGTGACCATTAATCTTGTATTGCGCCCTCTAGTTCTAGTTCTTTCCTTGAAGCTCGGAATATTGTACGCGGCGCTAGTTTTGTGACCATTAATCTTGTATAGCGCCCTCTAGTTCCTCCTCGAAGACAATAATTATTGGCCTACTTGCAAAATACCTTGCCAAAAAAGGAGTAAGGAACCATCAGAAAAACATGATCAAAAAAAAAGGATTTATTCTATGCTTTTAGCGATTTGCATTCTGTTTCAAATCAAAAAGTCATACGTACTCTGGCCCCCGCTCAAACTGAGGTCTGTCTCCCCTGAAGAAAGTTATAGACTCCGATATGTTGGGAACTATTCCAGGTTTATTAGACGACAACACGAGTTCACATACGAACATGTAAGCGGCCATGTTAGGAGTGATGCATGCTGGGATACATGGATTAGACTTGCTACAATGCATCGATTAGATGGGAATCGCTACATCCTCTCTTCTAAGTTTAGTTTTAACAATTTGAATAAAACAGCTTTATGAAATAAACATTTGTTTGATCAGTGAATTTGTAAACTGGAGTCTGGTAATTTAAAGTCTGAGTATTTCACTGATTTGAAAACACTTAATGAATATTTAAAAAACACACTGGTTATGTAAATGTACCAAGATAAACAATTACTATCCTTTCCTCTGAAAAACAAACAGAGGGTTAAACCAATAATATAGTAAAAAAACAACAAACAAAACTCAAATGCCTTGAGTACTGAGATAGACTGTCTCAGTACTCGATGTGTGTACAAGGGATTATTCTGCCCTCATCTTTGGAGTGTACAACACATAACACATGTTGAGTAGGCAAATGTAGTTACTAACAGTCCAGTAGTCGAGGACAGTCCAAAGTTATCAGCATGAAATTTGGAGCAACACACAAGTCCAGTGCGGGCGAAGCAATAACAGTCACACAAAACTGTTAAGTGTATTTAGGATTTGGCTTCGAGATTGCCCGGAGCGAGTGAGAACTGGCTGTGGTGGAGGTGCGTGGGGGATGGCAGGCTGAGGCAGTGGATCCTGTGGCGGTAAGTAGAAGTCAGGTGAGTGTTGTTGCTGTGGAGGTGGTTCAGGGACTGGCAATAAGTGTCTCCGATTGCGGCGGTAGAGTGTGCCTTGGGCATTGACGATGTACGATCTGGGGTTTCTGGAATGCTTTTGGACAATTCCAAGCTGATCGTGCCCTTTGGGTGATTGTAGACGGACAACTTGCCCTGGTGTCAGTGGTCGGAGGGGCTTGGCAGATTTGTCGTATGAAGACTTCTGTTGCTGTTGCCTCTTGCGTAACTGTGCTGTGACGCGTGTGTAAATGGCGGGTTTAAGGAGTGGCGTCGGGGTAGGGATGGTTGTGCGAAGACGCCGTGACATGAGACGTTGGGAAGGTGAGCCAAGCTGGGGGTTGGTTGGGACATTGCGAATGTTCAGCAGGTTTCGGTAGAGGTCTGAACCGTCGCGTTTTGTCTTCTCGAGGAGTTGTTTGGCGCGCTTGACAGAGCTTTCTGCAAGGCCATTGGACTGGGGAAAATGGGGACTGCTGGTTGTATGCTGGAAGCCCCATGACTGTGCGAATTGTTTGAAGGCGAAGCAATCAAATTGTCGTGCGTTGTCACTGATAACGATGCGGGGGATTCCATGGATGGAAAATTGTCTCTTGAGTACCTCAATGACTGTAGAGGCACAGGTGTTGTCGAGTGAAGCGAAGTCAAACCAGCCGGAGTATGAGTCACCAAGGGCTAGGTAATCCATACCGTTCCAATGGAAAAGGTCAACTCCAATGTGTTCCCATGGTAGGCTGGGTGGGGGGTAGCTTTTCAGTGGTTCTTTCTGTTGATGGGCTTTGGTAGCGTTGCAAACTGTGCATCCAGAGACGGACTGCTCGATATCAAGGCACATTGATGGCCAGTAAACTACATCTCTGGCTCTGCGTTTGGTAGCCTCGATGCCTGGGTGACCTTCATGCAGTATTTGGATGTATTCTGCGCGTAGTGACTTGGGAATGATGGCCTTATGTCCCTTTAAGATGATACCGCGGTCGAGAACCAGTTCATCTCTGAACGCGAAGTAGGGGTGGGCCTTTGGTGGGGCATTGTTGATATGCGAAGGCCATCCGCGACTGATGACATCAGTGAGCTGTTGCATGGCAGAGTCACAGGCAGTTGCTTTCTTGAGCTGTTCAAGTCGCATGTCAGAGATTGACAGGAGGGTCATGACTTGCAGGTCATCAGTTTCAGTACCGGTCGTTGTCAAGGGTGCACGTGACAAAGTGTCGGCAAGGAACAATTCTTTTCCTTTCTTGTACACGAGGGTGATGTTATACCTCTGTAACCGGAGAAGCATGCGTTGAAGCCGCGCAGGGGCACTCAGCAGAGGCTTTTTGACGATGGTGACCAATGGTTGGTGGTCAGTTTCGACTACGATGTCTTTACCGTATATGTAGTCGTGGAACTTGGTGCAGGCAAACACAACTGCAAGCAGTTCTTTTTCAATCTGTGCGTAGCGTTGTTCAGTGTCACTCATGGTACGTGAAGCATACGCGACAGGGGCACCCTCTTGTAGGCAGGCTGCGCCAAGGCCAAACTTGGAGGCATCGCAGGTCAACGTGACTGGCTTGCGGACATCAAAGTACGTGAGTGTCGGCGCATTAGCAATCTTGTCCTTGATTGCTAGAAATGCGGCATTGTGTTGCTCTAGCCAGCACCAATGGATGTCACTATGTGTGAGCTCGCGTAGTGGGGCTGTTAAGTCGCTCAAGTTGGGTACAAACTTGGCCAGGTATGTCACCATGCCAAGAAAGCGTTGTAGGGCAGTAACGTCGTTGGGTGGAGGCATGTCGGTGATAGCACTGACTTTGGCTGGGTCAGGCTTAAGACCACTGGCGGTGAAGACGTGACCGACATATGAGACTTGTTCAAGACCGAAGCGGCACTTTGTGGGGTTAAGGCGCATGTTGATTTTGCGTATCCGATCAAGGACAGTTTTGAGGTTTCGATCATGTTCCTCTTTAGTGCGTCCACCAACTAGTATGTCATCTACGATGATGGAGCATGGCAGATCGGCGAATATCTGCTCCATGGTTCTCTGGTACACATCGGAGGCAGAACAGAGGCCGTAGGGCATGCGAAGATAGCGGTATCTGCCATATGGCGTGCTGAATGTAGTCAGCAGTGATGATTCGTAATCCAAGGGGATCTGCCAGAACGAGCATTTAGCATCAAGCACTGAGAAAACTGTCGCACCATCCATCTTGGCAGCGACTTCCTCTACTGTTCGGGTAGGGTGGTGTGGGCGTTTCAGTGCTTCGTTAAGGTCGCGAGGGTCGATGCATAAGCGGATTTCTTCGCTGTTTTTCTTATGAGTCGCGACCATGGAGGAAACCCAGTCTGTCGGTTCGGAGACTGGAGTGATCACGCCTAGGGTAGTCATCCGCTGCAGTTCGGACTTGACCTTGTCTTGCATTGCAGCAGGGATGCGACGTGGGGGTCGGACAACCGGCGTAGCATTGGGGTCTATGGTCATGGTGTAGATGACTGGTAGTGACCCGAGCGAGCTGTCAAACAGGTCTTCGTAGTCTTTGAAGACTTGAGGCGATGTGGTGTCATTGGAGACATGGTAAACCAAGTTGTTGACAGACAGCAGGCCTAGACGGAGGCAATCGGTTAAGCCGAGGATAGCTTTCACTTGTGTGTCAACAATGTGAAAGTCAATATTGTGGTCAGTCAGCGATGAGTCAATGCGACATGGCAGTGTAGCTAGTCCAACTGTGTGGAGCTCGGTTCCTCCATAAGCGATGAGCTTGGTTGACTTTGAATTATCAATGGACTTAGGTGGTGCGATGACGTTGTAAACATGCATGGGCAGGACGTTACAACGTGCACCAGTGTCAAGTTGGACAGGAACGTGTGTGTTATTCACCACAAGCGTAGCGTGGATGTCATGTTTCAAGTTCAAGTTGGTGTTGTCCACGGCTCGAACGTAAAATAATTCTTGCTCATCCACGGCAGGTTCGTCTTCCTCCGAGTATGAATCGGGGTTTACTGTGTAGACGTGGCGGCTGCTTCTGCAGTAATCAGCATAGTGATTCTTTTTGTTACATTTGTGGCAAGTCTTGCCGTAGGCTGGGCATTCGCGCCTCTTGTGAAAAGTTCCACAATTTCCACAAGGTTTTCTGGGCTTTTGCTGCTGTGTAGAACTACTGCGTGCAGATGTCTGCCGTTGATTTGACCATGTTGGTCTGTTTGGGCGTTGAGCTTGTTTCTTTTTGAAAGCGTTGACAGTGGTATTTGATCCATCCATTGTGCTGGTAGAGGCTGACAACATCTTTGCCTGATCACCTGCGAGCTGCATTGATTGTGCAAGTTCCACTGTGCGCTTGAGGTCAAGTTTGTCCTCTGGTTGGGCAAGCAGGGATTTCTGGATGCGTTCATTCTGCACGCCACACACAAGTCTGTCTCTCAGCATTTCATCAAGGTTTTGGCCAAACTTGCAGTCACTGGCCAGTGCACGTAGTGCTGCTAAATATTCGGCGATTGATTCACCAGATCGCCGACAGCGGCTGTTGAATTGAAAGCGAGCAATGATGCTAGACTTTGTGGGTTTGAAATGCTTCTCAAGTCTGTCCACTAGTTCTTGATATGTAGCTTCGTTTGGTTTCTTAGGGGCAAGAAGATCGCTAATCAGCTTATATGTTTGTGAACCAACGACAGAGTTGAGTATGGCCCTTTTGCGTGCTGCGTCGGAGATATTGTTCGCCGCGAAATATTCGCCGAGACGATCAGTGTACATTTCCCATGTCTCTTTCTTTTCACAAAACTCTCCAATATTGCTGAAAGTAGCCATAAGGTTTATCGCAAATACAAACCGCAAAGGATCATGGGGCTGCAATCGGAGCAACAGCGCCATCACACGGCAGTGGCAAAACAGCTTTTACACGGTCGTGCGGTGTGACGCGGTGTTTCTTGGCTGCTGATTTTTAATTTTCTGACGTTTTTCTTTCGATGGGAGGTGGTGATCATTGTGCTGTTTTGGGTTGCAATAATGACCGACGGTATCCAGAAAGGTATGATCTTACTTATACATAAATCAATTGTTTTGTGAACTACAGTTGTACAGAATAAAAGATGGTCTCACGAAAGTACATGTGGCTTGCAGTTCCGAGCGACGCGATCGTCGACCGGCACGCGGCTGGGGAAACACGAGACATCGACACCCTGCACTAATTTGTCAGCCAATGCATTTAAAGTTCTGTGCCCCTCAAAAGCTCCCTTTTATGGCTCATTTCTTATTGGAAAGATATGTGGCTTTTACAGACATGTAATGGTTTTTTTTTTCTGTCAGCGAATGATGTTTTATTTTTTTACAGACAGTTTAATGATTGCTTATTCTGATCACGAAAATTAAAAAAAAAAATTCATGTTTGATGCATATATTTATTTTCAATGATAAGCCTAGCTAAACTAACCTACTCAATTTATTTACTTATGAAATATGTTTGACTTTGAGAAGTTTTGAATTGTTTTTTTTTTTTTTTTAAATCATCAAATAATATAATAATAACTATTTTATATTTCCCCTTCTCTTCATAGATATGTCATCAAAGAGCATGTAAACACACTCAGGTTCCACTCGTGCAGGGATAAGAAATACTTCCCTCTCTGGACCCGACTGATCCAACGGATGGATTTCAAAGTAAAGGCATCGACTACAGTCTGCAGCAACCACTTTAAATATGGCCAGCCATATCCTGATGATCTCCACCCGTCTTTATTTTTGAGAGGATACAACCTTCCCGAGACACCAAAAAGGGCACCGGTGAAGAGGCGAGCATTAGATGTAACTACGCCTCAGCCTAAGAAAATCAGAACTTTGCCGTACAGGTCAATAGGTATCCAGGTAAACCCCGATGATATTGACGATGTCAAAGCACTGGAGAATGATCACAACTACGCGAATCTCCCTTTCCGTAACAGGCCCGTCAGTCCAGTATATGTAGCCCACCTAGAAGAGGAACTTGCTAAACTAACAGACAACTGTGGAGAACTTAAGCAAAATCTTCTTGAATCCAAGAGTAACATTGACAAACTTAAACTTGAAGCCCAAGCTAAAACAAAACAGAGATTTTCCATCAGAGATATTTGCCACTCAAATGAACTCATTAAACTCTATACTGGACTCCCCAGTTATCAGCTTTTTGAATGGCTTTTTGAAGAAATTAAGCCACACACTAAGAACATGCACTACTACAAGGGCAAAACATCAGCTGAAGACAAAGCCTACCAGCTAAAGAACAATGATAAACCAGGGCGGAAGCGGTCACAAGCTTTAGAAGATGAACTATTCATGACACTAATGAAGCTTCGTCTTAATCTCAGAGAAGATGATCTGGCCTTCCGATTTGGAGTTTCTCAGAGCACCGTGTCTCAGGTTATATCGACCTGGCTCCCCTTCTTAGACAGAGAGCTTAAAGCATTCATAGACTGGCCTACTGAAGAAGACATCTACAAATACTACCCTCAATGCTTCCACAAATACAAGGGAACAGTGCGCTGCATTATAGACTGCACGGAGATTCAGATCGAGCGACCCTCCTTAGCGGCATCCAATTCACAAGTGTACAGCCAGTACAAGTCACGGCCAACATTAAAGTGCCTTGTTGGAATTACACCAGGGGGTACAATCTCCTTCATTTCTAAACCAACAGGAGGCAACACGTCAGACAAGAAGATTGTCAAGATGACAAACATCATAGATCACCTTGAGCCCAATGACATTCTTATGGCTGACCGGGGCTTCAACATCCAGGAACTCTTGCTGCACAAGCAAGTCAAGCTTGTCATTCCTCCTTTCATGCGTACAACAACTAGTACATCCCAGTTTACCGAGTCGGAGGATACAAAGACCAAGACAGTTGCCAATGCTCGTATTCATGTTGAGAGGGCGATTGGAAGACTAAAGGAGTTTTCCATACTACAAGGGCCAATTCCACTAACTATGATTGATCTCATGGAATCGGCCCTCGTAGTATGTGCTGCTATAGTCAACCTTCAGCCTGTTCTCGTCCCTCTGACTTCATAGAAAACAATGCAAAACTTAAGACTTCAAAGGAGTGAGATTCAGTTCACCTTTTCTTAAGGTATATTTTGTTCATTCTATCTCAAGGGCTGTATGCAAAACAAACCAAATTACAAATGGCATTAATCTACATGAACGGTTTTCACTAATGTTAAATGATAATAGAAATTATATCATGTACATGTAATAACTTTTGCAGGTTCATAAAAATAAAAGACATGTTTAAACGTACATGTACTTGTAAATAAAATATGGAACAAAGTTGCATACAATATGGATGTAGAAAATGGCAAATTTAAATTAAGAATTCATGTTTTATAATAGCACATTGTTTAGAAATGCATCTGTGTCTCTTGACAAGAGTTGGACTAGTAGTTAAAAAAAAATGGCAAATGTAAAAAACAAAACAAAACAAAACCTGCCAAATGCAAGCACAGTCTTGTAACTAGAGTTGTATGAACAGTTTTCCAAAATATCAGTGCATTTGACCTATGTCTCTTAATAAAAAAAAAAATAGCTGAGTCTCAGAACGACAGTTGGAATAAATAGGTGAAAGTAAATTGGCAAATATGAGCTGTGTTTCTTCATTAAACAGCTGGCAATGGTGAGCATATTCTCGTAAAAAAAAAGAGTTTCCTAAATATAATTTTAAAAATTGGCAAATGTGGGCTGTGTCTCTTGAATAACTGGCGGCCCCGACATTGGGACAAATTTACTTGGATGAATACAAGAAATCCTGTTGCAAATAAAAATAATTTATAAAATACACAACTGTTATTTACATACATGGCATGTACCTTGTTCATATTATTCATGCACATCTGAAGATTAAACATTAAAGTAAACCTATGTTTTGTAAACTGTACAATACTTGTAAACATGCATTAAAATTATACGAACACATGTATGCCTCTTTCCCAGTACACTTTCGGATTGTACCTTTTTATACTGAATGAATTCACTGGACTGTTGGTGTATGACGGTCTAAAGCAGGGGCATGAGTGACCATTGATAAAAACAAATGACAACGGTGCATAAAAGCTGAACTTTGGAAATATCCTACTTTTGTACACAGCAAGCGAGGGAAAAATCCTGAAATATCCAAAACAGAAAATTTCCCCAAAACAATGCACTTTAACCTTTTTGATTTTTTTGTCCCCCCCCCTTTCATTTATTTATTCATTGTTTGTTTTTGGGTGTGGTTTTTGACCTAGCTAACTTAAGTAGCCCTTGGCTGCCGCTTCCTCTTCTTGCCCTTTGTTTTGGAGTTGCATGCGCTGCACTTCCATACCGATTTCCTTTTCTTCAGGAATCCTTCTGATCCCTGAATTCCAACACAGCTGTAGTGGAACCAGCGGTTGCACACATCACAGCCAATACTGCTACGGCCGTCTTCTCCCGGATCACTGTCGCATTCCTCGTTACAAACCCCACAAGGATAAGCTACATGCACAGCATTCGATGATGGTCTACTCTTCTCGATACGAACTAGAATCGACTCCATCACTTTGCGGACAGATTTATCCGTAACAACTTTGCGGATGGCCCCACTTAACAGCTCAGCTACAACTCCATTTACAAAGAAAGTATACAGTTTGGGCTGAATGTTGGCAATATACTCTTCATCAAACAGTATGCGCTCAACATATATATTGTTAGACTTGCTAACAGTTCGTACGACGAAATCGCTCCACTTGTACCCTGTACACCACATCTGAACTTGAACCTGGGCGTAATATTGATGGGACCGTCTCAGTTGAAGAACGCCATTCTCCATAGTGAGGCAACTGCCCTTTTTCGTGGACAATGCTTCTATGTCTAGAAGTCTATGTGTATACGGGTTCTTGATCTCCAAGAGACCCGTTCCACATTCCTTACATCTCACAATGCCATCAGGAGAGGCAGCCACATAAGGGCATTCGGTGCTGATCCACAGCCCTGTGTCATCACATGCAACACCTTTGTGTTGATGATGCAGTCTGTGCCATGCAACGTATTGTTTCTTGGCTACCGGTTCTTGGGTTTTACCCCAATCGAGGGCTGCTGATCTCGGTGACCCATAGTAATTCAGTACTCTCGCCACTTGCGAATGGCCAGAGAGACTCCCATCATCCTTGACGCATCCGACACAATCTCCTACCACACTTGCAGTCACCCTGCCTTGCCGTTGCTCGGCCCACAATGATGAAGCTGCCTGCCTCGCTGTCTCCTTTGCTAGGACTGCCTGCTGGTGCTTGGTGACGCGTAAGAGATCTATGATGCTGTCTGCATCCCCTGGCTTGGCTATCTCGAATGCCTCGGAAACATTCAAAACTCTGCAGCTGGTCTCTACTGTTTCCTCCGTCTTAACGTATTTGATGTTGGGGAGCTGGTGATGTGGGTCCGGCTTTGGCTTGTTGTACATCAGAAGCCCACAGTTTCCATTCGTTATCGATGCCAGCGCATCAAGGTTGAAGCTGGACACTGGCTTGTGAACTCGATATGCTGCGGTGCGTGGGTCAAACTCCGACCGGTACATTCGGTTGGATTCAGGCAGCTGCTGTGTGACATCGGCCTTCACGCCAATAATACTTATGTTTTTAGCAAACTCGGCATCGTGGACGACCTCGCCTTTCTTTGGTGCTCTTCCCCATGCCTGCCTTTGTGAGGTGCAGGAAGCATTCCTCCCTTCTTCAACGGACTCCACAACAGCAAAAAGTAGACCAGCGATGTGTTTGCAAGTTGCTTGGATGCTGTATGAATAATGAAAAAAAAATGTCACACAATGAAAAGAAGTATCGAGGATTAAGTACCTGATGCAGTATGCAGCTACATGTACATGTAGTTGGATACATGTAGTTCAATTATGTAAACTGGCCTAAAGTACAATTCCAGGATCATGGGGATGTGCCACCTTCATGCAGAAACAGCCAACGATGATGTAATTTTACCAATACCACTCACAAATCCTTTGCTGAAAGTCTCGGTGAATTTCATCTTTGTCAAATAAAATGTAAGCTGGAAGCACCTGGAAGCTCATCATATTTACGATGATGTACTTTTTCCTACAAAATCAATTTACCCAACCTACACCCTCAGAAATAAAATAACTATTTATATTCTTACCCAACACAACATGTGCATTCAGCTGTGCAGACCTGTCCCGTCTCCTTGTGCAGCACAACCCAGGTGAAGTATGTCTGCTCTGAAGTTTTTACTTGAGGTATTACCTGAAATATTATAGAAAAAAAAGAAAATATAAACAACGGTTGAAAAAGAATAATATAATGTTCAATTACTTGAAACTGGTTTATCAATGCTCATGCACTGTTTTTGAAACTATAGCACATAATAGAAACTAACCTTTCCACGAACGAAGCAGTAGCACAGATTCACACTGATGCCATGGTACTGGAGTGCACGGACATGGCGGGACATGTACAGACTCTTTCCAAGTGCAAGAGTTCGCCTCCCTTCTGTCTTTATCAGTCCAATTCGTCGGTTACCTGAAGTAAATATTAAAAATTACTATTACTTCAATAAATGGAATTATGGAAAAGTCATGCCTCAAATTAACTCATATCAAATGGGCGTCGGTCACTTTGCTGAATGTCCACTTTGCCGAGCGACGTTGACCACTACTTCGCCTACATCACTTCATATGTACTTGCATGCATGGGCGCCATTTCCAAGATGGTGGCAGAATGTGAATAAGGCTTATTGGGCAATGCAAGTGGTAATTCATAGAAGAGACTGTAGCCTAAATTAAAAAAAAAAATCCCTGCCAGTGCTTTCCTTGCCTTCTCTATCATCACTATCAAAATTATGTCTAAACAAAAATTAAAAAAAAAAACAACCTGGGTCATGTACCCGAACAGGTTGCATACTAAGCCTGGATTAAGGAATTAAACATAAGTAATAGGCCAAATTCTGTCATTATTTTGTCACTGCAGAATCAAGAGTTAAATGACTAGTTTCTAGTGAGTGGCTTGCAATTTTGCATCATGTGCAGACCAGCGCCGACAGCGGCCTTGAGTTTTTTTTTTCCATTCATTTAATTTTTTTCTTGTGTCTTTTTGTTGTATAATTTACTCAAAAAAAATTACCAGCTTTGATGTAGCTATCCAGGTGATCTCTACAAGTTTCTGGGAGGCTTGCTGGGCCATCTTCCCAACCCTCTGTCAACGTCTCCGGCCGCGGAAGTCGGACCATGCCACCATCGAGAATCAGCTTCGCGCTCTTCGATGCTTCGATTTCTTGCTCGGCGACTTTGTCGGTGGGTTTCACGGTCAATCCAAGCTTGTCAGCCCAGAAAGCTCGCTCCGCTAGTTCTGCGCGTTTTTCGTCGCCAACAGGAACTCCTCTCTCTCTTAAATATTTCTGCAATTCGTCAACTGTTAAGGAAAGAAATTTGTCGTGTCCGATTGTAGCCATGATGATTTTCGATTGAATTGCGCGCTTTGCGCGCTTCAACATCCGGGACTGCAAAATTGCAATGCTCCGTTCTGCATCCCATGATGCTTTGCAAGAGAGCGCCCTCAGTCGGTAAAAAGCTATTTGCGATAAACCTTATGATGTATTAAGAAACGAATCCTGTACTTACTGACACCATGAAGAAAGTTATAGACTCCGATATGTTGGGAACTATTCCAGGTTTATTAGACGACAACACGAGTTCACATACGAACATGTAAGCGGCCATGTTAGGAGTGATGCATGCTGGGATACATGGATTAGACTTGCTACAATGCATCGATTAGATGGGAATCGCTACATCCCCGAAAGCGGCTTATTCAGCAAATTTTGTTGTCGGAGGGGGCCGGGGGGAATACACTCCTGCGCATTTTATCATTCTTAGTTATACATTTATCCCCCTACGTACCCCTCCCCCTCCGGGACCAAACCTCGAAACGCATCACTTCCAAGTCTCAGTAGCGTGCGTGCGGGCTGGGGGAGGGGGGGGGCCTACAAACCAATATAAACTTTATTATTAGGAATTTTATAGGAAAAACCCATGGCTTTGGGATACAGCTTTTGCGTCGCGTTGCACATAAAATTGTGCGTGCAGTATTAGAGAGTCCCTGTGTGCGGGGCCCAGGTTACTTTGTCATCTCCCCCCACCCCCCCCCCCCCCCCCCCCCCCGGGGGGGGGCGCGGGGTGCAAAAATACCCAAACGTCTGCAACAAGGATCTACTCACATGCAGAATGGGCAACTTCCACACATTGTATACAAAATGGTTTAGAATCAGAAAGCGGAACTCCAACGACAGTGCAAGATTATAAAAGCAAAAACCCAAGGATGTCGTGCTCCCCTAACGCGAAATGTCACCGCCGGGTCGGGGGGGGGTGGGCATGATTATGTGCGCCACTGCCGAGTTTCCAAAACGTGCGCTAATGTACAACAATATTAAACACTCCTAGGTGATAAGACTGTGTTCCTTCCTTCATGAGCATACAAGTAAGTGTGCTTGTACAACCATAATGAAAAGCTTCTTTTTTGGGTGTGTCTCGACGATGTGGTCAAAGGGTGCTAGTCTGCATCGAAGCTTAGAGCGCCAATTATGCGAGGTAGCGCTATCACCATATGGCTGTGGCTGCGTCAGATACTTTGTACGTGGTACATGCGCGTAGGACGACCAGCAGACGTAGCCATACCTCTGAAGGCCGTTGCGGACACGGCTCGCCTGTGACTTCGTGCGATGGAATTTGAACTCACTCCACCCATCCACCCCTTATTCTTAAGACTGAATAATTCCACGCAAATCAAATTTCTTCTCATTCTGATGGTTTATTCAGACATGTTATCATTTTTTCACAAGTTTACAATTTTAGTGTGAACATTGATTTATTAAAAATGCTCTTTTAAGACGAAAATACAAGCTGTTAATTTTTTTTTTGCACGAGCCCTCAAAATGACCCGCTGCAGTGTGCAGCTAACTGGTAGTCTTCTGCATGTTTTATGTTGTGTTGGGCACCAGCGAATAGTTCGGCGAACAGGTGTGTGATTTACGTGCAATGCATGGATCACTGATCTTGTTGACGTTACAAGCTGCGGGGGAGATTCGTGAGAAGTGGTTGACGTACAAAGTGCAGTTTTATTTCGTTGACTTCATAATTCACGTCTGCAGATGAAATCGCAGCAAGTTAAAACTGAGCGCTAGTATCTAATTCACTTCTCGAATATCATGACAGTGCGTGTCATGACATGATCAGTGTGCATGCTGTGTGACTGTCACAAAGTGAAGCCGTGTTCATTTTGTTCATCTGATTGAAACGGTCGTCTCTTGCTGACTGCAACTTCGTTTTCAAGTCGAGGGTACCGCCGGGCACTGCCGGGGATCGGCTGCCGAGATGTTGGAGAACGGTGGGTCGGAAAATAAGGACACACATGACACAGGCCCCAGGAGAAAGGTAACTGACCAAAAGTGCAATGTGTGTATAAAAGTTGTAAATAGAAAATCCATTGAATAATTATGAAATAGCCTGGAATATTGCAGTTAAAATTTCAAAGTGGATATATAGGCCTACAGTCCACTTGTCTTACACGTAAGACCATAGGTAGGCATATCAACGCGAACATGCTGAACACTCTATGAATAATATTACAATCAACGACCGAAAAAGTAGAGTTTTAGCTTTGGTACTTTGGAGCGGCCGCTGTATATTTTTACCCCAAGACTATGCCCAGTACTTCTTGACCTAGTCCGAGTAAGTTGGACCCAACTTATCGCCTTTTTTAACATTTGGACATGGTCTGGCGATGTCCAAATGTTAAAAAAGGCGATAAGTTGGGTCCAAGTTACTCGGACTATTCTTGACCATGTTGACATACTCGCGTTCATTTCGCTAAAAAGAATAAGGGTTGAATTTATCTTGATGGTGCAAAAAAATGATGAAAACGATCCCATTTCTGTACCGAAGCTACAGTTGAGTTTTAACGTTTTATCGTGCACGGGAAGCATTGTTGGCGTGACATCAGAGTCTCTTGGTCTGGGAACCGACCACAGACACGATGTTTGTAGTGCATATCGCGGGTGGCGTCAGACGGGCCAATCAAGAGGAATCACGAGGTCGTTGATTGTAATATTATTCGTACAGTAATGTTCGCGTTGATATGCCTACATGTACCTATGGGTCTTACATGCAAGACCCATAGTTCTAGGTGTACAGTCCACTGAGAGCTTGTTTTCCTTTAAAATTAACAAATTTTAACAAATTTTGGTACACCTACGACGCATCGCACTTACGACATGTTTTGTGAAATCAGTCCTTCCGATTTGAAAATCACAGGCATGTGGAAAAAGGCACACCTGGATTTTTCTAGGTTTGTGTTTTTTCTAGGTGTGTGTTTTTCTAGGTGTGTAATCTTTGGTCCAGGGAAATTCAGACGTCCAATTATTCACACTTCTCGGGAAGCTTTTAGGTGTGTGATGGTGTGGGGGTGCGATCCCACGCCTCAAATCAGAAGGACTGTGAAATGGATCGCAGGACGCGTTGCAGCTGCGACGCGTGTAGAGATACGATGCGTTGCAGCGCTGCGATGCATCGTAAGTTACAAAGAGTTTGATGAAATCGGGTGCTGGAGGCGCGCAACTAGGTTACAAGAACAGGGTCGTAAGAGACTCGATATCCCGGACCGTATATCCCCAGTGCCTTACAAAAACGGTCCATTTTCCCTATATTATCCCGACCCAGATTCCATAATTCATACATGTACCTCATACGATGCAACAGACATTCATGAAGCTAATAATTGACTTCAAACAGAACAACGAAGACTAAAATGTGAAATTTTTCGATGATTTTGGTGGCAATTCTCCAGAAACCATGAGAAAACGTCGCGCGACACTATTCTGCCGTTAACCGAAAAACCCAACATTGGCCAACAATTGGTCATGGACCGAGTTGACCGGCACCCAATAATACTGTTCAATGTAATAATACTGTTCACATACAAACGATTTACACATTTCTTTTTTTGTGTTTCTTCACCCTTGAAGGGATGTGATCCTTTAGCGCAGACTGTAAGAGGCAAACTGCAGAACAGAAGGCAAAAACTGAATGGCCAAATCAACAAAGAGATGAGAATGAGGGCCGGGGCTGAAAACCTCTTCAAGTAAGTCAGCTTTTTAATTTATTTTTACATTTCCCACATTATTCATGAGTGCATCACTTGCATGCAGAAATGGGGTACATATTATAAATATATATATTATAAATATTGAATGCTTTATCTCGTGGTGTAGTAAAACTAGCCTCCCGAGGTTATCCATGGACATTCGCCGAGGGAAAATAGAATGCTCCATGGATCACCGAGGGAGGCTAGTTTTACTTCACCACGAGATAAAGCATTCAATAGGCCTAATTGTTTTATAACACTTCACCTACAGATTCTGCTTGGTTTTAATATTTTTAAATTATTTAAATCTGAACACAGATGAAATAAACTTCAATTTCAATACAAAATTGGTGGAAAAAGTATTTCTCTCTTCACGAAATGTTCGAACCAAACTCTGTGGCGCGCGCTCTTTTGGAACAAAACGCGTTACTAACTTACGCACAACGCGCACACCAGCATGCATTTGCACACAAATACCGTGCCGTGGATATAGTACTTTGGTTTCTAATGGTAGTTGTTCAGTACCCTTCTTTAGATTTTGAGCATGTTCACTGCTTCAAACCAACAAAATGCACAAATTACAAATGATTGACTGTACCTTTAATTGGAAGGAACGACATGAAAGGTTGGATAAAACCATGGCCCTGTGCATACACTATGTACATTGTACTGCGTTTCTTAAATAGCATAGATGTATTAAAAGCCCTGTTCATACTTCAAGCTATTTCGCAAAAGCAAGTTCGAAGTGAAATCAATGTTGTCAACAATGGTGGATGCACGTCAAACGTATTGTTGACGCCACAAATTTTGGTTTGCTGTCACGTGAAGCACCGGTATGAACTGGACTTTGAAATATGAGAAACTGACTAGGGAACATAAGCCCTAACCCCCTAAATCATATTAAAATGGAAGGATTTAGGCCTATTGGAGTTTCAAAAAGTACATTTAGATATTTATATACTAGTTTACTACATGTGTGTTAAGTATGTATAGTGCCCTTAGGTCACTTGTACAATGCACCGGTATGTATGTGTAACCATGTAAACAAGAAGAAATCATTGCAATTGATTATTATGTTCAGTATTTTCAGTGGCATTTAAACATGTGTAGTACTCGGTGTTCGCACTCAGTTGCAATTTTTTTCTCGTAATCTCCTGACCTTTGAGCTACAGTAAAATAAAAATCAGTATGCAGATAATCCAGAATAGAATGCCATCTGGGCATGGAAGTTGGAAGCCAGCCCAACAGATTGAACAGTGAGATAATATGAATTGTAAAATGTACATGGCTACAAAGTGCCTATATCCAATCTATATCTGTGCATCAGCTGCAGTGCTGCACACAAGATTGCTTTTATTGATTTTTGTAATTTAGCTAGATAGTTTCAATTAATTTGATGCATGCTGTGTCATCAGTCATCACACTGTCGCCACATTGCACAATGAAGTGCCCTTTTACAATTTATTCAGCTCTTAACTGCTTTTCTATTTTGCATAAATTTCAAAGGTCCAAACTAAGCGTTACAGACTCATGAACTGCATGGACTCATGTACCGGGTACATTTTGCTTTAATTGTATTTTCTTGATCTGTTATGCTTTATCTGTCTGTAGTTCAAATTTGTTCAAAATGAATCAACCCAAATGCGCTGGTTGCTTCACATGCACAAATACACATACATGTACGTCATTATAATTTTTTATTTTCATGTTAATTTACATCAAGTACATGTAAGTTAACACTGTAATAAGTTCTTGGTCCCCTCCACAAATGTTTCAGTCTTACGCACATCCACATCTAGACTTTTGAAAAGATGGCCTGGTCCCTTGAGAACAAACTTACTGCATTTCAAGATACTAGTTTGTACATGAACTTAAGAGAATTGTGTGGGCTACATTAAGATTAACGACCCTTAACTTAGGCATTTTTGCCAGGATGCAACCTCAATCCTGCAAAATTCTCCAACTGCCTCATTGTAAAAATTAAATACAACCTCAATCCTGCAAAATTCTATGTTAGGCACACAAAAAAATAGTTCTGCTTCCGGTCTCCCTACCTACCCTATTCTGACAGCCCCTACCCTAACTTTTTTTATGGGGAAAATGAGCAAAAAGTCCCAAAACCAACAAATTCTACCTTTTACTCTTGACTACAAGAGACGCCTCCATATGATGGTACGCAAAAAAAAGTGGCAAAGAAATGAAAAATTCCCTACCCCATTTTCAAATGCTATGTACATGTAATCGGAAGCAGAACTATTTTTTTGTTTCAGGACTTTTGGCCTTATTTCTTGAATGTGGTCTTTGGAGGCATGACCACTCCCACTATCCTGCATAATCCTCCAGTAATCATAATAATCACTGTTACTTTTGTCAGTATGTTAAGGCAGAGCTACTGGTACCAGAAGTGACATCCTTGAGCAGTATTGAGGATTTCAAGTACATGTATAATCATAGAGCAAGGACCCAATCTTGGCCCAAATGTAAGCACGGCTGAGCATAAGAACCACAAGGTCTGGGCCCAAGACCTTGACACAGTTCATCCTCCAAAATCAGCCCTACATTTTTGCCATATCCTCAATCCTTTGAAATCCTCCATTTTGCAAGGTTAGGGTTAAACATGTACTTCATGGTTAATGTCTTTACAGTGTGCATATATGTATTTGAAGTTGGAAATGTTAAAGGGAATATACATCATTTGCTTTTGCTGTAATTTTCAGAAATGGATGGAATTGGAGGGTTGGAAATATATAGCAAATATAGTTACACTGACTTTTTTTAGGTTTTGGGTTCGAAAATGCTCTAAAAACCAAGAAAAACAATCATTTTCCTGTAGTCTGGTTCCCTGACTCCATATAAGAAGAAACGGAGCAGTTTACGTACATTGGGGAATTGTAAGGTCAGGGAACCAGTCTAGCTGGCTTGTACCCGTTCATAGGTGTGTAATCGATTGCAAACAAGTGCGATGGTCAATTGGGGCCAGTATTTGAAAAAAAACCAGTGTTTTCCAACGCTGGTCGGCCGACCAGCGTTGGAAATTGATACAAAAATACCACTTTTCTTGAAAATGACAGTATACCAGGTGCCATGATTTTACAGGATGCTTTACACTGTCATTCACTAACAGTCCAGCAAGGTATTTCAAAATGATTTGGTAGTTTTAGTTTTTGATGTTTGCAAATGTTGTATTTTCCCTTTAATGAGCCCACTAGCTACATACATAAATATGTAGCTAGTGGGCTCATAAACATTTTAGGTGCATGAACAACATGTACGGGATACATTATTGTATACAAGTGTCAGAATTAGCAAAACCCATTTGTGCCAAAAACACCTGTTCCCTCCGTTGACCTGTCTCCATGACAACCAAGGCCACCACCAAGTACTGAACCTTTTGACTGCCAATTATAATAATGTTTCAAGTGCAAAACAGCAATGTTTCCAATAATTATAAAATATTTGATGGCTTTGAGGGGATGCAAGAATATGGTATATTGCACAAGCTATAAGTTAGATAACAATACTGCATGAGACTAGTTGAAGAAGAATTTAATATTTTTTTGTTGCGAGTGTAATAAATGTTTTTTTCAACGGAAAAAAAGCCGATCATGATCCAATATTATTATTATTCATAATATCAGGCTAACTTGATACGAAAGAGAAACCGGTAAGCCTTGCCATAATTACGGACTGCTTTCCTCACTTTTACCCTAATGTTAATTTACATTGTTACAACTTCGACAAATTACTCGCTAGCCTGCATAATTTTTTCCAGCTTCTCAAAATCTATCAATTGGTAGATTCTTCTCGGCCAGAAATGCTCGCAGCATATTTGCTGTCATCTTTGTTGCTTTTAAGGTATTTTCAGCACCTTAAGTTTTCAAATTCCATTGAAATGTCCATCGCATACAGTACCGAAGCGAATCTCTCACTGCTCGAAGATGCTATTTTGTTGTTTGCAAACAGTGCGTGTACCTGCATGCGCGCGCCTGCAGCCATACCGTGTGCTGCGCTCTGTTGATTGGTTGACAACCGTGAGTTTGTGCATTCTTGATTGAGTGGGAACTAGCGAAATGTGCATTGATACCATAAACTGTCTGGATGACTACACAATATCAAAAACGATATTGTAGTCATCAGCATATTTTTTTCCAAAGTGTACAATTATCTTATTGTACTCTTGGAAGTTACAAAAATAATTATGGCTTGTGTAGCAGCATCTGAACAAATGAAAGAATCAACAAATACACATAGATCTATAGTAGACTTTAAAAAAAAAAAGCACATTTAATCCGTTGTAGTTTTGTACAGAAGGCGCACAACTGTCATTGGTATTATTTTTTTTTTTTCATTTTTTTTTTTCTTTTATCACATTGTACAAAATTTTGGGTGGGGATGGAAAATCACTTTTATTTTTTTATGAACTTTCAAATCAAAAGTTAGCTCCACCCGTCATATTGGATATTCCCATTGAACCATTGAGAAAGGAAACAGAACACCGCAGATTAGTGGCCACCATTCATGGATTGTTTCCTTGCACAGTCTAGTGTGGTTCCTGTTTGTATTTATTACCACACATACCAGTACCTGTGGTTGTTGACCATAAATGAACCCGTATTTATAAACATGTACAGTGTAACATGATTTGTATGGCATCTCACACTGGCTGTGTGGCCATTAATGTGCTGGTTGTGGTTTAAGAGTAGACATTACTCATTCTCAAAAGATTTCACTTTCCTGGAATTTAACATAAATGAGAACATGTATGTATGCTCATGAATGCAACTAGTGATATTAACAAGTTATGCATTTTCTCATTTTTATGGCATTGTTGAACTTGGGTTGCTCTGACCTCTTGAATGCCATTCCTGCAAGCCATTGAGTGCTAAGTGGGCCTGAGTCCTTGACTCTTTCAACAGAAAAAGACCAATTCTGAGCAGTTTAAAACCAAAACCAGTGTAGAGTCCTAACTATATTTTCCCACATCAGCATGTCAACCC